TTAAATAAATAAATAAATAAATAAACCTAATTATGCGCCCCCCCCAATAATAGTAAAATATTTTTTAGAGCATCATAAATTTCTGGTATATTTGGCCAAAGCTTCTGAAGATGTTCTTTTGCAAAAATTAGATAAAACAGCTAAATTATAGCAAACATTGACATTATGTGATCTGTTGCTTTAGTATGTGTCCAGTTCTTGGTGAAAATGAGGCAAACGTTGTCTTTGATTTCTTGTGGCAGTAGATCCTAGCATCTTTGGTCATTTCTCTAGCAGTCTTCTTTTGAAATGTGATTTTTTTCTGTATAAATAGTTCATTTTTTTACATTTCGTTGAATAGTCAACAACCATCTGTTTTACAATTTCTGTGTCCTAGTCTTCAAGGAGTCTCCCAAATTAATTTCCATGAGATACACCGTTTATTAAGGAGTAGGAGACATGATAATATGAAGTTTTAAGTACATATTATGAAAGCGTACAGTAACCACAATAATTACTTAGAACTTAGACTAAGAAAATACTTTTTTTAGGCAAGAATATTATATCCCTGACATTGTTTTGAAGTGCAAATGTAAAGTGATAATCAAAAGCAGATTTTTTATCAGTTTGATTATGATTTTAAAATTATGTGCTTCCTGTCTGTACTCGGGACAGATTGCTTTCACTATGTGCCACTTTCCCTTGGTGTGTCACTGAGTCCAATCCCCATTGGACGAAGCTCGTTGCCCCCTTCCATCTGAACATAATCTCTTCAATCTCCTTTGCAAAAGTCTTCATTCTCAATATTGGAATTACCCAGATTTTTGTTCCAAGTCTTCTGTCTATATTTTTGAATAGATAATGTTATATGGCTTTGTGGCTTTAAATACAGTCTGTATGCCAGTGATTCCCATAGATTTCTCTCCAACCTAGATTTCTTTTTATCTGCCTGCACTTGGATATCCAGGTACCTCCTTGAGGTCTGTCCACAAGTTGTCGTGCAGATGGCTAGTGGACCCAGACCACAGTGCACTTCTAGAACTTCTCCTGCACATTGTCTCTTCCCCCATTTTCCATCTCAGCTAATGACACCACCATCCTCCAAGAATCACAAACAAGAAACTTAGATGGCATACTTGACATCCCTCTCCCACCCCCACCCATCTGATTCATCACCCAGCCATGTTTATCTCGCCTCCAAAATGAAAATTTGAATCTATGTGTTTTAAACACCTACTGATAAATGTCATTTTAGGTAGTAGATTCAGAAATCTCGCTGTCAGAAATCATTCCTTGTTTCAAGAAGAAAAATTCCCCTGTAGTTTAATCCCATTTTCTCTGAGTGAAATACCATCATAGAGATCAAAGGTCAGCTAGGTTTTTCTGTAAAGGGCTAGATAGTAGTATTTTAGGTTTTGTAGGTCCTAAGGCAACTAAGCAACTCCATGTGTCATTGAAGCAGGAAAGCAGCCAGAGACAGTATGTGAGCAAATGAGTGTGGCTGTTTTAATAAAATTGTATTTACAAAAATAGACAGTGAATGTGTACACCGTTGTTTATAGCAGCATTGTTCACAGTAGCCAAAACGTGGAAACAACCCAAGTGTCCATCAGTAAATGAATAGGTAAAGTAAATGTGGTCTGTTCATAGAGGAGGAGTATTCAGCCACAAAAAGGAATGCGATTTTGATAAATGCTACAACACGAATGGACCTTGAAAACATTCTTAGTGAAGTTAAGCCCAGGCATGGGTGGACGAATACTGAATGATTCTACTTATGAAAAGGTACCTAGAGTAGGCAAATTCATAGAAACAAAGTAGAATAGAGGTTACCAGGGGTGAGGGAAAGAGAGAGATTGCTGTTGCATGGGTACCAGGTTTCTGTTGGAGGTGAGGAAGTTTTGGGTATACATAGTGGTGATTGGTTACACAACACCGTGAATGTACTTGATGTTACTGAATCACACAATTACAGGTGGTTAAATGATAAATACTATGTTTATGTCTATTTTGCCAAAATTTCAAAGAATAAAAGGAAGTCATGAAAATGGGTGTGCGGTCACATGCTGGGTTTGTCTAACCGGCTCTGTCTTTAGGCTTATTTTATGCATGTTTTGTTTTCTAATTCTTAATTATCTGACTGTTTTCTGGGTCCTTGATATTCTTAAATGTTAAAACTAAGAACTGATCCTCAAGAGGTGTTTCCTCATTTGACTTCAGTTTGTGTCACTGCAAAATTAATGTGTTGAAGCCCTAATCCCTGATGTGACCAATAGTTGGAGGTGGGGCCTTTGGAAAGTGATTTCGTTATGTGGGTGAAGCACTCATGGATGGGATTGTTGCCATTATAAGAAGAGACAGAAATTATGTAGTGTGACGAGAAATTGTGTGTGTGAGGACACAGCAAGAAGGCATCTGTCTGTGAACCAGGGGGAAGGAACCGAGTGAGCTGGCACCTTGAGCTCTTACAGCTGTGTTGAGACATAACCCTTGTCAGCAGCTTGCTTGGAGCAGCAGTGGTTCTCAATCTTACTGTTATTCTTGTAGCAGAAAGATACAAGGAGTTTTCCTTACTGTGAGGAGAAAAATAGCTTCAGTGAAGAAAAGCAGCCTCCCTAGCTACCAGTGTATTTTGGTACCGCTAGAAGGTCGGTGAAGTAGCAGTTGTGCCTAGGTTGGAGAGACGGGGGGGGGGTGAAGGAATGATCACAGTGCTGAGAAAAGAAATTAAAGAATCTCGTTACGATGCCAAGTCCCCGCTTTATAACTTACCATATTTCCTGCCCCTTCTTAGTAATACATCCGGCTACTTTTTCTTAGGCTTCTTCACAGGTAAACGGGTAACCTGGGATTTAGTGTCTAGTTCTTTCCAGTTCCAGACAAGAGGTGGCTGAGCTTAACAGTTAAGTACTCAGGTCTTAGAGTTAAATTTCCTGAGTTCATGTCTGTCACTTACTAACTACTTAACCCTGAGCAAGTTACTTAATCTCACTATGCCTCAGCTTTCTCTTCTGTAAAATGAACTTGCTGTTTGCCCACTTCATAGGGTAATATGTGCAATGATTGAAATAGTGCTTGTATGTGAACATTAAATAAAATGTCAGCTGCAGTTGTATTCTGTGGTTCCTTGTAATGACCTAAAATGTTCGCTGAAGTGAAGAGTGGTGGGGCAGGAGAAGCATTTAAAGTTTAAAACTTGTATTCTGTGCTTTTCTTTGCTGAGAATGACTGAACTTGATAATGACCACTTGAATCAAATGAACCTGCATTCTGTCTTTGTTTTTTTCCCTCATACTCTGATGTCATAGCTACGCATAGTTTTCTGGTGGTGACATCAGTTGCAGGATTTGGTTTGGGTTTTTGGTCTTGTTTTTTAACACTGGTGGAAAGGTAATGCAAGTTGAGATTTGAACAAGCCCATTTTCACTTCTGAAAGTTCTTATTCTTACTACTCTTTGTGAAACAATTTGATGGAAAGCGGAAATTTTTACTTAACATTGAGACTGTTGGAGCATTCTATTTTCTGCTTTAGTCACCAAAATAGTAGGAGACTGGTTTTGGCCTTTGGATGCTTTACTCTAGTTTGAGAGACAAAGCCAGCCAAAGTTCAGAACAGCTTGATTTAGAGTTCATCAATGTTATTATCCAGGAATAGTCTAGGAGTTCAAAGAAAAGATAAGCATCTCAGGCTAGCGTGATGTAATGAAACAACCCTCAAAAGAATTTGAGCTAGACTCCAGAGGGTAGGCTGGGATTGGAGAGAGGTAATAAGAGAGCAAACGGGAGAAACTTGTTTTTACTTAATATTTCCTGCCAAGCACTTGTGAATTAATCTGTGTGGGAAAACAGGCTTATTGAAATACAGGGGGCACGTGCAAAGGGGAAACAGAAGGTAAGAACTAGGTATGTTAAAATGAGATCAGGAAGCACAGGACCCGGAATGCCTGGTGGCAGTAATTTATACCACTGTTGAGGGGGTCGTGCCAAAGTGAAAACATAGCAACTGTATTTTTTGTATCAGTTTATTCTTTAAAGCATCACTGGAGCAGAGAATAGAACTGTGAAGATCAATTAAGAAATGATGATAGTCATTTCGGTCTGAGATAATAGTGATAAGAACTAAGTTGGTGGCAGTGGGACAAAGATAAGACCTTTTAAAAATAATCGATTGGATTTGGTGTCTGGGATACAGGAGATTAACTGTGGGAGTCAGTAGTCCTTTTTTTCCTTAGCCTGTTGGATTTGTGATGGTAGTAAGACATGAGAAGAGCTATTCTGCATTCTTTGAACACATACTTATGAGGACCAACCTGTGTGCCTGCCTCTGACCAAAGCTTTGGGGATACATGGTGATCTAAAATGGCAAGTGTCCCTGTCCTTGTAGAGCTTATAGTCTAGAGGGAGAGGGCGACAGAAATCACACAGCTGTAATTTTTGTAGCCCATAATAGTCAGTGAAAATAACACGAGTAAAGGCCATGCAGTTAGGGTGGATGGGCCGTGATACATTTGAGGAAATGAAAGGCCAGTACAGCTGGAGCAAAAGTAAAGAATGAGGAGGCTGGAGAGGTGGGCAAGAGGCTGGCTAAGAGGTGAAGGTTATAAAGCCAGATTTAAGTTGGCGTTGCAGAGTTGATGGTTAACAGGAAGTGTATGTGGTGGGCAAAATGCAGAACTCTGAGATGTAATGGGAGGAGAGGCAAGGAAGCTGAGAATAAGCCAGTTAGAGAAGTGGGTGAAGAACCAGGAAAAGTGGATGCCCAGGACAGTGATGGCGAACTCTTCCCACTGGGCTGAGAAGGAACATTAATGGAAAGGACATTGACTTTGGCATTGGGGATTTTGGTGACCTTCAACAGAAACAGGATTTTAAGAGATTGAAGAGAAAGACTGGGAGGTTAAGAGGTAATGGCTATAAATCACCCGTTTAAGAAGTTGCTAATGAAAGCAGTTTTTAGTAGTTTTTAAAATGTATTTGCCCATGTACACGTTTTTACTCAGCTAAGATGATCAATCTTCTGATGTGTTTCAGATGAAAAAAAAGATATTGACCATGAGACGGTGGTTGAAGAACAGATTATTGGAGAGAACTCACCTCCTGATTACTCAGAGTATATGACAGGAAAGAAACTCCCCCCTGGAGGGATACCTGGCATTGACCTCTCAGATCCCAAACAACTAGCAGAATTTGCTAGGTAAGTTGTAAGAACTTTCCTTTCTTCTAATGAAGTTTAAGTACTTGAGGGTTGCCAGCTATGTATTTTGGTGCCTAAGTTCCAATAGTGGTTTGTGTTCTTGCTCTAGGGAAGCTTCTGAAAACAAAAGCAGTTGGTTTTATTTTTAGTGGTAGCTATGCTATTGATGTAGTGGCACTGTTTCAGATCCTTGCAGACAATAAGAAGAAGCAAATACATACTCTTTAATTCTATAATTGACATTACTTGTGAATAAACAAAATTGCACATAATTTGTTTGGAAATGGGTGTCTTTACACTACCCCCTGGCCTCTTTGTATACATTTTAAATTTGGATGTATTGTCCTGGACTAAAGCTGCGGGAGGCCTGGGTCTGTACTGGGTTTGTACAGCTGAACACAGGACAGGACTGCATCAGTTCTGATTTCAGGGTGTCGTTAGTTAGACTCACAGTGTTTTGTTAATTTAAGCCAGCATGACAGGAAGAGGTCAGATATTTATGGCTGGGACCCCTGTGACTGCCTGTCCAAAGTGCACGGAGGAAGATCTGAATCCATGGGATGTTTGTTTTGCCTGAAACTGGCTGAGTTCCTATAGAAACCTTGGGCCCCCCCCCTTTATGTTATTTTCCAGTACTGTTTGGTAGTTTTTATAAAGACTGGAGAAAACCCACATAGTTGTAAATTTTTAATTATAATGAAGTGAACTATTAAAATTTAGAGCTACTCCTCTTCCCTGACTGAGGTTGAATGGCGCCTGGAATAGCCTAGGAGATTGAGGCAAGGACAGGATCAGTAAGAAAGAAATGCTTGTGTTCCTGTTCTATCTAACAGGATGGAGTGGGGGTCTTTTTGTTTTTCTGTTTTTGTTTGTTTTTGTTTTGTCCTTTCTCTTGAGAGCAGAGCAGAGTAGGAGAGAGCTGGAGACCCTGGGGTGTCCTGGTTTCTCCTGGCCCTGCCAAAAACAAGGTGGACAAGCCTCCTACCATTTGGAGCCTGTTTCCCCACATGCCACGTGGGTGTGAGAATCCCATTGTGCTTTGATAAATGGGTTTTTTCTCCTTTTCACTGAAACTAGTTATAGGGAATATGCACATTAATTTATTTCTAAATTATCATGGTTTTTAAAAAGTTTAGGCTCTATTTTTTTTTGTTAATGGCACTGTGTTCCAGCTTTTATTGCTATTAAAATGTTAAATGCAGGTATGTGAATCAAATATTAACTGCCCTCCTCCCCTCCCCCCAAGAAATACAAATAAAAATGGAATCTGCAGGATGCATAGTCAGTAGTGAGGTTAGAGGTTTTGGACAGGTTGAGCCAAATATGCCTGTGTTTAATGTCATGAGTTCCTAAAGATAGTCACATCTTCATTGTGGTACTCAGATTTCGTCGGGGCTATGGGCTGCTACTCCAGGGATAGATATGGGACACAGAAATCAAGGAACCCTTTGTGGAGGGGGCAGCATTTGATTTGGGCCTTGAAGAACATGGAGCTTTGACAGCTAGATGGGGTTTCCTGGTGGGGTCTCCATGCTGGAACAGCATAAGCACAGAATACACATTCAGTATATTCAGAGGACAAAAGGAGTCAAGTTTGGCTGTGAATTGGGGCACTTTAAGTAAATGTAAACCAGATCGTTAAAGTCTGTGAAAACTGGGCCAAGATATGGGCTTTTTAGTACGCAGTGGATAACTGGTGAAGGTTTTTGAGCAGTAGAGAAGGGGGCTGGACGATCAGAGCTTTAACTTGGGAGAATTACTTTCCGGCTGTATCTAGGCTGGATGGATGCAGTTACAAGCATGAAGTGGGAGAGACCAGGTGAACTAGAGCTCATGAAGGCCTGAGCCAGAATAGTGGCGGTCAGGCCATGAAGAAATAGGTATGGCAGATGACAGGAGACAAAGGAGACCGACTGAGAGGCAGATCTGCTGTATTGGATGTGGGGGAAGCAGTGCGAGAGGAGGAATCAAAATGCATGTTAAAAGCTTCACTCCTTAGGTGACAGGAAAGTGAGAGAGGGTGCTGGTTTGGGGTTCAGGGGAGGCAGTGTTTGGTTTTAGATGCTAATGAAATACCTGTGTGGGACTTGAGGTGGATTCCGGAAGTAAGTTGGGGCTAGAGTCGTTTGAGGAGGGATGGGTAAGAGCATGAAAGTGCCAGATAAGTAAGCCCTTGGGAAGGGGTGCGGGTTGGAGGGAAAAAATAAAGTCCCGGGAAGGTCCTTGTACCAGAAACAGTGACAGCCAAAGGATCATTCAGACAGGTAGGAGAAGACAGTGTTGTGGAAGCCAGTGGAGTTTCCAAAAGGGCCCAGGGAGGAAAGAATAAAATTCCTCTAAATTATATATTGTGAAGTAATTGCAGTGGAGGAGCAGAGGGCTGAAGGGTGAGGTTGTGCAGAGAGAGGAACCTGTGGGAAGTGAGTGAGCAAGCAGCAGAAGTAATTAGGTGTTGGGGACCCTTGGCATTGTTTACCCTTCCTGGAGAATTGGGGCCGCTTGAGAATTGGGATCTTAAAGCTTGCCCCAGCCCTCCAAGCATCTGAACAGAAAATCCAGGATGTTTCGGCTCTAAACACAGGAGGCACATGTAGCTGTTTGGAATAGAAGCTTCTGCAACCAAGTGGCCTTTCCTCGCTGTATCAGGCTGCCTGGGACCTTACTCCTTAGGAAAGGGCCACCTCCCAGGAACAGGGACCCAGGGCCAGATAGCCATCTATTTGTGATAGGCACACATTTCAAAACAATAAGGGTAAAGAACCTAAAAGCTTCCAGGGAGAAAAGTTATATCACCTACAAAAGAATGATAATTAGGCCTGAATGAGAATTTTCTTCAACAGTGATAGATAATTAGAAGACAATGGAACAATATTTTGAGATTTCTGAGGAAAAATTACTATAAACATGGAATGTTGATCCAGCAAAGCTATCAATCCAACACAAAGGCAAAAGAATGACAAAATTTTAGACGCCTAAGGATTCATTTTATGTTGCGTGCACCTTTTCTGAAGAGGTTACTTGAGGATATACTCCAGTAAAATAAGGATGACCATCAAAAGGAAGACATCCTAAAGAATACAGTGAGAAGAAACCAAGAATACAGCTGTGCAACAGGCTGGAAAACATGTTCAGTTTAGAATAGGAAGTCAGTGGGTTGTAAGAATTTCTTGAAAAGTTCATTTCATTCATTAGGATAGAATGCCTAAGAAGCCAGATGTTGGTGGTATGGGAAAGAGTCTTCTAAAAAAGAAGATAATCAGAAGCTCCATGATAGGGGTGGCAGAGCAAAGAAAACAATGGGGCATAATTTTGACTATTTAAAAAGAGAAAACTCATTTGACGTGACTCTGGGAAAATTGTCTCCTTGGTACTGAAGCTGCTATATTGGACTTGCAAAGCAGGAAATCGGATCTTAGCACAGAGTTAAATTCTGTAGTAAGCAATACTTACATAATCATCTGAGTATATTGTGTGTTTATCTTTTATAATCAGCCTGTTAAAGATTTCATTTTGTACACAGAATGGGATGGAATCTTGCTCATCTGTATACAAAATAAAGGTGTAGGGTTTGGGCTCATCCCTGTGTTCCACAGTATCTCTTGAAAAGATGAAGTAAAACTAAGTAAATCTCTAATTGGGCAGTGGTGGTGGTGAGAAACACTTGAGCCTGGAATGCCCTATTCTGTTAGGTCTTCATATTTGACAGTGTAATAGCTGTGACTAGAATTTTCCAGAGGCCCCAGAAATGGTGACTGGGACTCTTAGAGCTGGAGACAAAGAACCACCAAGTTTCAAACTGTTGGGAGCCAGACCCCATCTTTGCTTATAAAAATGCACAGAACTTGTTCTGCTGGCCTCCGTTCTCATTCCCTTCACCCTGTGACTCAGTTCTTGACTTAAGGTGGTGTGTTTGCTGCTTTTCCCTCTCCTCCCTATAGTGGAGTGGTGAGGTTTTGGACTGGACTTGAAACTGTCCAAAGAATGTTCTGGTTCCTGCCACACTGAGCCTAGACTGCTTAGTAAATCACTTTATGTATGGATAAGTATAAGAAATAATAACTTAGGGGAGTGGGTATTGCTCAGTAGTAGAGCACATGCTTAATATGCATGAGGTCCAGGGTTCAATTCCCAGGACCTCCATTAAAAAAATAATGACTTGAAAGTCATGGTATTGGAGAGGTGGGACTACGGTGACTTTGTTCTTTCCTGAAATGTCTTTTTAGTAAATACTTCTGGGATTGGTCAGTGGGTGGGACCTGGAGAATTCTGTTTCCTGATGAAATTGACAAGCCTTGTGAATTTTTTGCATAACCCCTTGGAAACCTTTGGTCCAGAAAGGTCAGAGTAACAGGTGGTTACGTCAGTCCCAAGTTGGCGGTGGCTTTTGCTGCTGCTGTTGTTGACTGCCCACCCTGAGACTTTCACTGGGTCAATGTAGAGGTGGAGTATGACAGTGGAACCGAAAGCACCTTCCAGCTCTGTAACGCCGTCACATGGGTATACACGGTCTAAAAGAGAAGCCGCTTAACAGACGTGCCCCGTTGCACTTACACAACACTCTGCACACAGAAGGGAAGTGACTTATGCTTGCTGTGTTACACAGGAACTTCTTCTGTCCCGTCAGCACAGGTCAGAGTTGGTGGTTCCAGTCTGATTAACTAAACTGGTTTTGCAGAGAAAAGGCTTATTTTCATTCAAGAATCACTTCTTTAGAAATGTTTGATCTTGGCTTCTGGGACATTTGCAGATATAACTTAGTTGGAACTTCTGGTTTATATAATAATACCCTGCTGAAAATTGTCCAGGAAGTTCCTGCAGTTTTTGGTCCTGGTGTCCAGCCTTTACAACGTTGTTCCTTCCATGTGTGCAGGTGTAACATCAATAGTCATGTCCTAGGGAACAGATTCTGTTTTTAATTGAACAGGAAACTTCTCTTGCTGGGTACCTGGCTCCTCCATATAATTTCTCGTACATTGAGGGGGCCTTTCCGCTTTGCCTGTGCTGTTCTTTCTCCAGGCTCTCAAGTTTTTTAGTTGAAAAGGGTGGTTTGGAGCCACCAGTACCTTCTGGGTTATTAAATACAGCTGGCATTTTTTAAAGGAATGAGGTTATTTTTGGCTAGGCCCATTTAGCACATAGCTGGTGGTAATAATAGCTATGATTTTTCAAGAGCTTAACGTATATCATCTCTTTATCTTGACAGCTCTCAATAGGTAGCATTATACCTTTTTACACAATAAGAAACTGAGGCTGAGAAGTTAAGTGGTTTGCTCAAGGTCATGCAGCTAGCAGAGGTCAGCACCGAGCCACACGTCTCATTCCGTCTCATTCATGGTGCTTGTGCTGTTGTTGTCTCCAGTTCCAAAGAGCTTTGTCAAGTTCCACAGTCAATGAGAAACTCAAATCTTGGTTCCTTCTGTCTGACTGGTTTGGGTGGGTCAAGAAGATATTCTAAGTAGGAGTATATGATTTTAGTCTATTTAAAAAATTACTTTCTTTTAAGGATTTCAAATACATGTTTTTTATTTTGCAGGCTATATATCAATGGTTGCCATGAAGATTTTAATTTTAGTCTTTGCTCAGTCTAAGCATGCGTTTTTGGAAAGTGACATTTACATTGTTTGCATTCGAATATAACATATAAGGTACCCACATACACTGGCTCGCTTGCCACTCTGAAGTACAGAAGAGCGGCTCAGCAGGGAGCTTAAGAGTGGCTGCAATTAAGCACCTCTGCTTTCTCCTTGAGCCCGAGGGTATTTGCCCAGATGCATTTTAAACTCTCATCCTAAAATTAATTATATTGCTAACTACCAGCTTATGTAAATTAAGTTCCTAGGAATGAATTTAAGAAATTTATGAGGTTGGCGGACCCTCCTAGGTAGCTGGGCCCCACCTAACCTCCTGGCACAGGCACTTCACCGCTGTTGACGGTGGAACAGGGAAGAGATTCTGTGCGACATATTTGTTAACCCAGTGAAAGTTTTTAAAGTCCGAGTTTTTCGGTTTTGTGATAATTTGCATACAGTAAAATTCACCCTCTTTTAAGGTAGTATCATTCTGTAAATTTGGACAAAGTCATGTAGCTATCTTCCCGGCCAAGACAGAGCATTTGAGTGGAATCGTCAAAGAGTAATAAACATCTTAATTGGAAAGGTTGAAGCTTCTTGGTTTTTTGTTTTTTGTTTTTAATTGAAGTATAGTCAGTTTACAATGTTGTGTCAGTTTCTGGTGTACAGCATGCTTCAGTCATACATATACATGTGTATATTCCTTATCATATTCTTTTACATTATAGATTGCTACAAGATATTGAATGTAGTTCCCTGAAGCTTGGTTCTTAATATACTCATTAATATTTTATTATTTACATTTGATTGGAGTGGAACCCTTTCATATGAAGGACTATTAGTTTTCAACCTCCAGGTGGCGCAGTGGCACCAAATTTTTGTCCTACCTAGTTTTGTGATTCAGACCCAAACTCAAGGATTTAATGGTATTTAAGATAACGAAGGCTAGTTCAGAGCCCTGTACACAGTAGGCACATAGAAAATACTTGCTAACTGATGTGTTAATCTTAACAAGTACATGTACAAGAAAGAACAAGTATCTGCAGGGTGGAACGAGGGAGGATACCAGACTGAAATGTTCTCCTAGAATTCCAGGTAGGAAATTTGTATAGTCTTGAACAAACTCCTTAGAGATAAGTTACAGCTACGAGGTAGCTTGTTTCCCCTCTGCTCTTCCAGGGCATGGAAAATTTAACCAGATGATTTCATGGGTTCGTGTTTTATAAAATAAGAAGCATCAGGGAATCCTTTTCCCAGATCGAGGGTGGAGGAGGATATTGTTAGAGCCTGTGCTGACTTAGCAGTGGAAATATTTCATAGTAAAAAAGTTGTGGTAAATTAGCTTACCGTTAAGGAAGCATCAGCTTAATTTATTAAATACGCATTCTTCACACAGGAGTGTGAGATGGTGCAAAACTAGGGACAAGAACATTGGTTTTGGAGATTTAAACCTTTTTCTAGTTTTTCTAGGAATTCTTTAATTTCTCACCCCTCTACCACACACAGATCTATAGGGAGTTTTGGAGAGAAAGTTTTGACAAAAGACCAAAGGTTGGTTCAGTGGAAATAGCAGGTAGGTAAGTTACAGTTAATCAACAAGCTCTCTGGATAGTGATTCCACTCAGGGCTCTACCTGGCTGCCCGAGTGGAAACCGTAATCTCCCTCCCACCACCACCACCGAAACTAATAGTGCGATAAAAATTAAACAGTGTGAATGAGTTTGAGGTGATCCCACCTGTCTACCATCCCTTGGGGCTCCTGCCCAGAGTAACCAGTCCTTAGTTTGTTATGTTTCCTTCTAGGGCTATTATACATGTGTAGTTCTCTGTCTAAAAGGATTGCTCTGTACCCTTTAAAAAAATGACCTATCATAAAGATCATTTCTGTCAGTATGAGATGGGACTCCCCCTCCCCCTTTTTAAGACTCTCCCATATCTTCCTTCCTTTTTATAAGGCACTTTTATTAGCCTAGCAGCTGCTTTTGGATACCTCGTTTTGCTCCCGTTAAGAGTTCATGTGTGGTTTTGGGGTTGTTGGTCTCGTGGCATTTTTTAGAGAGTTTAGAGGAAAGAGTGAAATCACAGTTCACAGTGCCGTCCTGAGCTGTCCCAGCTTACTAGCTGTGACACTGGGCAACAGCTGGTCGGGTTCGTTCGTGAGTCCTGCTCTGTAGGTGGGACAGTGCTTCAAGGTCACAGGTCGCAGCCATGTGAGCTTTCTCATCCCTTCCCCTTCACAGAAGTGTATTGTAATCTTAGTTTCTGTGCCTCTAGGGAAAACATGTTAGGGACTTATATGATTATGTCAGATGAGTCTACCCACTCCTACAAATCTCTCTTTCTCTCTCTCTTTTTTTTCCCCCCTTTGGTAAGAATGAAGCCAAGAAAAATTAAAGAAGATGATGCTCCAAGAACAATAGCTTGCCCTCATAAAGTAAGTAATGCTAGGGGGAAAGTGTTCATTACTGTGAATGAAATTTTAGAGAGATTGTAATAAGAAATCGCACTTTTATTTCTGTCTTCATAATTGAGATTAAACAAGGAACTATAAACTGGTTTCTAAATTCAGGAGAGTATATTCTGTGATGTAAGTTTTGTTGTTCCATAAAGACCACTTAAATACTATTAAATGGGGTCACCTTAGGACACCAATGTTTTTATTATCACTATATACAGAATATACCATGGTAGGATTTTGTTTCTTGTTTCTGGATCATTAACAAGTCAGTCTTAAGGCATTGGGTTGTGTCTCACCCATGGACCTTTGTGGGACTGTGGGCTGCTTATGGAACTCTGGAAATGATTCTGGATGTTGCTAAAGTAAGCCTAACAAGACTTTATCATTTCCTTCATGATTTTCCTTAATTTAACGTTGATTATGTGTTGGGGGGGCACTTAATTGTTTTCAAATGTGGTTATTTTTTGTCAAAAAAGTAAAACAGTAGCCTAAAAAGTACTTAGAGGCATTGGTTGGGTCTGCTTCAGATTTTTATTGGAGGTAAAACTAATGGGAAAATTAAGTAATCACGTAGGTAGTACAGAAAAACAAAGGGGGAAGTTTTTTTAATAGAATAAAAAATTTTAAAAAGACAATTGGAGAAGGATAAGTTTAGTTTCATGGTATCGCCTCTGGTGACTGTACCCACAAATTCTTTCTTTTTAATGTTCTTAATGTGGAGATTTTGAAATGTTAAAAGGATTTCTGTTGAGGCCAAGTACTAAATAAACATTTGAAAACAGTTATACCTTAAGTGCTCATCATCTCTCTAGCTTCTCTGTGTACTTCTTTTCCAATTAGATTTTTTTTAAATTCCATTTTCTAAGTGGAAACAGCCCAGGGGTCAAGGTGTAAAAACTGTGGCTCCCCCCGCTTTGCCCGTGAAATTGTCTGTCTGACTGTCCGGTCATGTCCCCCTTCACCCCATTACTGGGCAACAACTGCAGAAGAAATGGTGAAGGACATGCTTCTCCCAACGCTGCTCACCCGTCTGCCTTCCCCACCCTATTCTGCTGTCATTTTGCCTGCTTCTTTTCCTAGTGTCTCACAAAATAAATTTCTTCTGTAGTTGCCATTCCTTGGACACCCTCTTGCTTCTTTCTCTGTCAAGAAGGGGAAAGAGGCAAAGAGAGAAGAGGGAACAGTAGGCGATGGAGAATGACAGCCCATTCTTGCAGCACAGAATGTGGGGCCCACCAAAGGTAGTGGTGGACGGCCGTCATTTTAACTCCGTTTATCTATCAGTGCTTCTGTTACTTCATTTGGGGGACACAGTTGGGTGAGGCAGCTATGGTGTAGCTGGAAGCCAGGGTGTTGGGTTCTACTCCCAGTGTGGCTTCTACTAGTCGTGTGACCTTGGGCAAGTCTACTTAAAGACATCTCTAAGCCTCAGTTTCCTCGTCTGTAAAACAAGAGTTTGCATTAAATGATAAGGCCTCTTTCAGCTGTCTGGTTTTTTTTGTCTTAAATAATTCTACTGTACTGTGAACTAAAATTTAAATGGGAAGGTGGGGGAGGGTGTTTTGTTTCAGCGTGTCAGTGAGGGCTGTTAAGTGCTTGAATCGTTTGTAACAGTTTGCAGCATGAACCACTAAGCTTCTCTCTCTGTTCGAAGGGCTGCACAAAGATGTTCAGGGATAACTCTGCCATGAGAAAACATCTGCACACCCACGGCCCCAGAGTCCACGTCTGTGCAGAATGTGGCAAAGCTTTTGTTGAGAGCTCAAAACTAAAGCGACATCAGCTGGTTCATACTGGAGAGAAGCCCTTTCAGGTAGAGCCAGTCCCTTCTCCCCTCCCCACTCCCCTGTAAGTGTAGACAAAGCGACAGTGAAGCTGGAGACACCACCGGAGGGTCAGGGTCTTAGTGCTTCTGAGTGAGAAGCGGAAACAGTGTCCTTACGGGGCCCCTGGCTCCTGACTTCCCCACGTGTGGTCCGAGTGGTGCTGGGGACGGGGGGCATCGAGGTATTTACGGGGCATACTCCACATCAGGAGAAACACAGGATTGCTCAAGAGCAAACCTGAGACAATTTCTAGTGCATTCACTATGGGGCTGAAGCAGTTTATTTGCTGTAGCTGATTTATTTTTTGTAGTATATTGAACTATTAATTGACCTAACTATTTTTGGTTTTTTGTTTTGTTTTGGTTTTTTTGATATTTGACACCAGAAACCTTCCTAACAATTTGTATTTTATTTGAAATATTTACACAGATGTTAGGGCCCTAACATATTTAGGAAGATTCTTGCTCTTTTGCTGAATATTTCTCTTATGTTGTGTTTAAACAACTCACGAAGGCTATTCAAGGGTTTTAGGAGTTGATCATGTGGAAAAATCAGTGCTCTCTGCCCCCTAATTCTAGAATGTGTCTAGAAAATTGCCCCCGGGGCGGGGAGGAGGCGTTAGAAGTACTAGGCTGTTCTCCCCCAGAGGTGAGCTGCTCCCTCTCCCAGGCCTGGTCCGAGTCTGAGCAGGTTCTCTCTGGTCTCTCCTCGACAGTGCACGTTCGAAGGCTGCGGGAAACGCTTTTCACTGGACTTCAATTTGCGCACACATGTGCGAATCCATACCGGAGACAGGCCCTATGTGTGCCCCTTCGACGGTTGTAATAAGAAGTTTGCTCAGTCGACTAACCTGAAATCTCACATCTTAACACATGCTAAGGCCAAAAACAACCAGTGAGAAGAAGAGAGAAGACCCTTCTCCGCCTTGGGAAGCCTCTTCCAGGAGTATGATTGGGAATAAATATGCCTCTCCTTTGTATATTGTTTCTAGGAAAGAATTTTAAAAATGAATCCTACATACCCAAGGGACATGTTTTGATAAAGTAGTAAAAATTAAAAAAAAACTTTAATAAGATGACATTGCTAAGATGCTCTATCTTGCTCTGTAATCTCGTTTCAAAAACACGGTGTTTTTGTAAAGTGTGGTCCCAGCAGGAGGACAATTCATGAACTTCGCATCAAAAGACAATTCTTTATACAACAGTGCTAAAAATGGGACTTCTTTTCACATTCTTATAAATATGAAGCTCACCTGTTGCTTACAATTTTTTTAATTTTGTATTTTCCAAGTGTGCATATTGTACACTTTTTGGGGATATGCTTAGTAATGCAATGTGTGATTTTTCTGGAGGTTGATAACTTTGCTTGCAGTAGATTTTCTTTAAAAGAATGGGCAGTTACATGCATACTTCAAAAGTATTTTCCTGTAAAAAAAAGTTATATAGGTTTTGTTTGCTATCTTAATTTTGGTTGTATTCTTTGATGTTAACACATTTTGTATAATTGTATCGTATAGCTGTATTGAATCATGTAGTATCAAATATTAGATGTGATTTAATAGTGTTAATCAATTTAAACCCATTTTAGTCACTTTTTTTTTTCCGAAAAATACTGCCAGATGCTGATGTTCAGTGTAATTTCTTTGCCTGTTCAGTTACAGAACGTGGTGCTCAGTCGTAGAATGTATTGTACCTTTTACCACCTGATGTGTACATCCCGTGTAACAGAAAGGGCAACAATAAAATAGCAGTCCTACAGAAAGAATATGGCAGAAGAAGATCTGTAAGCACAGTCTTATTTCCTTTTGTTGTCCAGAATAATTATAATTCTTGAGCCTCCCAGAAATTGGAAGCTAAATAAAGCAACTCAAGTTTCCTTTATTTTGCACTCAATTACAGTGACTTGTGATTAAAGCGATGATGCATGGATATTTTAATACTTCCTATGTGTATTGAGTTCTGAAAGAGAGTAGGAAACAGGCATCCCGAGTTAAGGAACTACCTCAGAGTACCCCAAACCGGGCCCATCGGAGATAGGATTTTGATTTTAGCTCCCCCAGCAAACATGTGAGTGAAGCAGTTGTGCCCTGGCCTGTGTGTGTTCTCAAGGTAAGGTGTTAACTGGCAGGCGTGCGAGCAAAGGGGAGCCCAGGCCTTTCTGTGGCTCGGGCTGCCTTCAAGGCAGCTCCCTCAGGTCCTGGCTTGTCTAACAGGATACGCTTATGGTTATTGGCTATTTAGTTTGAGAGCCTTGGTTCCTCCGTCTAGTGGAATCTTTAAATGCTAGCACATTGCAGCAATTGGGCGCCAGTAGCTTGCTTTTGTGCTTCTAAGTGGATACTGAGTGCAGATTGGCAAGGTGATTAGGTTATAAAGAAAATTGTACTCAGTGAGTACTTTACCTCTCACATCGTGACCTCTTAAATGTACGATTATAATTTTTGGATTTTACTTAGAGTCAAATAACAGACTCGTGACTATTTTATAAGCTGCCATGATACAGCAAAATCCCATTTATTCAAAACGCAGACATACTGTGTGTCTTTGTGCTGTATGCTTGACTTTGCAAAGTAATTGACAAACTAGCTAATATCAGAGATTCATTTATAAGATGTCCAGGACACTGTCAGGTCAAAAAGCCCTATCTCTTACAGCTTCTCCATCGGTCCTGTGCAGGAGGATTGGTGACCTAATAACAGTGACCCTGTGGCTCTCCGGAATTTTGAAGTGCCTTCTGAATCATAAATGAAAATTTTAGCTTGAGACACTTTTTGTTTTATTTGTTCAGAATCTGTTATCCATTGAGTAGTTTGATGGAACTGAGTTAAATCAGAAGACCCCAGGTGTTGTCTGGATAAGCCAGACTTTGCTGTATCTGGTAGTCAGGAGAGAGGTAAGCCCACGGTGGAGGTCCCCTTCAGAGTGGAGTGCCCTAGTGCGGATGTGTGGTTCTTTGACTAGACCTGGGGCAGAGGCCTCCACTGATGCCTGTGGTGTGAGTGCCCACCCTTCCCGCCCCACCATCAGGTGAGCAGTCCCTCAGTGGCTGTATTACTAGTCTGGGCCGCATCACCCTGGCCCAGCGCTGTGCTGCCCTGGAGCCTGGCCCTGGCGCTGTCCTCAGGACCACTGCCCAGGACCCACAGCAATCAGATTTATGCCATGGGAAGGTCTCCCTGGCAGCCTGGAGAGCCATGCCGTGACCAACAGAAGCCAGGCTCCTGAGTGGGAGGGAGGTCCCTCTGTGCCTTGACCCTAGGGGGACGCCTTTGGTCATCTCTTCTGTCCCCTCCTGTCTCTGAGTGCAATAGTCATCACTCCCCTTGACTCTCCCTCTGTTCACGTGTCTTCTCTCAATCTGCAGAGTTGATTTCTGAAAGGAATTTAATTGGTGTCTGAAGAAAATTTCATGTCAAGTTCCTCGCTGATACAGCACTCTCAGCTCACAGCAGTAGTGTAGGAGGCTGACAAGTGAGCGACAGCTTAGAGTAGAGGTAGTTCTCGTTGGGTGTAACTTAAACCCATTTTTTGCTTGTGGTTAGAATTTATAATTTTGCTAAAGAAGTAATTCACTAAAATTTAAAATGGTGTTCTAACAGTGAGTCAATTGTCTTGAGGATTAATCTGATTTATAAGTAATACTGATAGACATATTTTCTTACATCTGAGCTGAAATAAATGCATGTTTCTAGCATATGTAATATAAAAACTCCAGAGGATAAGTTTACATTTAATGAGATGTTGTTTTCTATTTTTGGATTTATTATTTTTCCCCCTTTTGGTAGTTGGGGGCTTAGGGGGAAGCATAATATTTGTACAAAGAACTGTCACTCCAGAGTGACATTTATTTTCCAGGTGACATTGAACTCACTGTTGGTTTCATATGGTGTTTGTGTGTGCTCTGCCTAGATTCAAGGCCTGAGGATTTGAGGAAAATCAAGATGTTTTCCCCCTATTTGGTTTTCATGTACATTCTTAAATGTCAGTTGCTTTGCTGAATTTGAGTAAAGTAAGACCCTTTGAATAGCCAAGCCAAGTTCTAGTTCATTTCTTCCCAAATAGATGAAAGTCCTTCATTCAGCAAGAAGCCTGAAGAGACAGGCGGTTCTGCCTAGCAGTTGCCGGGGTGCGTTAAGCGGGCGGAACTCCCCTGCTGTACTGTATCCCAGGGTCTGTGTCTGTGGCACAGGAAGACCTGGCCCTCCAAACGCTGAGTTGGAAATCTGGTACTCCACCCGCCACTGCAGACAGAAAATGGATCACTTCCTGTGTCTTGACTCCTGATTTGGGATAAACATGGCTTAGGAAGGCCATGTTATTAGTCCCTAATTCCTATTTTCTTGACATCTGACCGCCAGTCCCAGAGTTCAGAACAGTGGTGAGGGCTATGGCGGCTCCCAGGCATCCAGGCTTCCTGCCGGATGGCTGTCAATCCCTGACCTCCCAGGGCCCTTGTCTGAATTGAGAGCCCTCTGTCCTGGCCCCTGTTGGCGCCAGTGCAAGTGCAGTGCCTTTCAGCTCAGGCCCAGCAGGTTCCAGTAGGGGCCTTCCACCCAAACTTTTACCCCAAAACAGAGGAAGAGGCCCAGGCCCAAACTGCTTCTTCAGAGCTCCGTCATGCATTCCATGGTCTGCTCTTCCACTTCATGGAAGGTCCTCGGTGCCGAGGGCAGGAGTGTCAGCCTGAATGACTTCTCCCAACTTAACTGACCTTGATGGGCTTTGATTGTTCTGCCCAGATTGTGCTGAGGCTCCCTGGTTGCCTGAAGGCAGTGTGAGCGTGGGACCTTGGCGAGTGGGCATGCATGTGGCAAAAGACCCTGGGTGTCCTCCCCAGGCCTGAGTGGTCTGCAGGGTGCCCGAGAGGATGGTCTTTGAAGCTGGGGCTGGATTGAGACTTGATGGGAGGGGAAGGTGGCATGCTGTTGACACACTTCATCCTTATCTGCTCCCCTTAAAAAAAGTGGGGAAATGTTGCCAGCATTCTGGGAGTCTGCAGAGGAGGGTGAGTGTGGTGGCATCACGTTCATCTAAAGCATGATGATTGCTTTTCCACAGAGTGGCAAGTTTGATCAAACTGCTTTTCATTAAAGACACTCAGATGCCATAAGAAACAGCATTGCGGTGTCACAAGGAGGGGCCAGTTGCTGTGCTGTGTTCTGTTCGCTGCTCTATCTGGGGGCCACGTAATGTCAGCATACATCACAGAATGGGACAGGGCATCCGTACCAGACAATAACCTTTTTCCTACAACATCCATAATTGGTATGAGGCTCTATTATCTACGGATGGTGATTGGTCAAACTATATTCATAGAACAATTCTGGTTTTATTCACTTTCTGGTAACTTCTGTAGGCCCTGGCTCAAGGACTTAGCATTGCGGTTCATGTACATCCTTTTCTTCAATGTTCTTTGCCATTTCTGGAATTGTCCTTGGTTTTTCCTTAGCTCATAGGTCATAGATGCAGAAATATTATAGTATTTAAGGCATTCGCATCAAGCATCAGATGGCTTTGCATCCAGAAAAACATTTAACAATAACTCAGTTTGAAGCACCAAGCATGTGTAACATGGCTCTATAAAATATAATAAACGCATAATGTTGTTAAGCTTTTTAATGCCTGTGGTTCTTGTTTTGTTCCTCAATTCTCTAAGCTGCCTCTTCTCCTGAGTATCATTACATAGTATACTTGGCTGTAAGCTCCTGCTTGGTCTGCAGGCTGCCTGGAGTGCCCAGGGCAGATCTTCGTGGGTTTCCTTCTGGCACAGGGAGGGACACTCCCAGAGTTCAGTCTCACCAGCGAGAAATGCGTCCTTAACATAACCTCAGTTCCAAGATGGACTAATGGGCCAGGAGGAGTTTTAATGAGAACCTCACCCACTTTGCAGGAAGCACAGCCAAGTGAAATTCTCATGCAGTTGGGCCCATGATCCTCAGTGTTTGTTCTGGGAGCTCTTGTGCCAAAAAGAAAAACTTACTAACCGGATTAGTCTCTTTAAAACTGGATGAAATATACTGAGAGCTAGATAGGATTTGGTCAAAAGCAAAACTCAGAGAACAAAATGCTTCCCCCCCAGCCCTACCACTCCTCTCCCCAGCCAGGCCCTGGTGACTGATGTGCTGCAGAAGGTTTATTATTCCTCTCCTTTAAGTCATGTGACTTTACCTCCTCTTGGCTACTGATGGAGGGGGCTGCTGACAATGATGCTGAGGTGGCACGTTCAGGCCCTCATGAGGCCCAAAAATGCTGAGTGAAGGTCCGAGGTAGAGCTGAGCTGAGGAACTACCTTTTGTCAAAAATAGTGTGTGCAAAAAAAAAAAAATAGTGTGTGCATCTTCACATCTGAGATGGGAAGGAACTGGGGTCACTGAGGGATTGCCTTCTGTGGGCACCTCCAGATAACAGACCGGTGTCCCTCTGTACCTGCCCGTATCTCCACCTGGCTCTAATAACACTTGTTGAGAACTGAACTGTGCCCAGGACCATGCTAAGCATTGGTGAACACCTGAATTTCAGTTATTCCTCCAAACCGCCCTTGGAGGAATTCCATAGATTACTCTATGTCATGGGGGAGGGTCACTGGTGAAGGTCTGGGCAGCTGCAGTTCACAACCCAGGGCTACCTGGCTTCCATTGCACTCTGCTTGCCATGGGCCCCTCAGCCTGAGTTCATCTCCAGCGCCCTTTCAAAGAAGCCGTGGTCCCTGTTTGTGGCGGGACACCGAGGCCTCTCTGGCTCTTAGAACAGGGCGTCTCCTGGTCTTGGATCTGGCTCAGGGATTCCCCACCGCCATCAGTTTCCGGCTCTTCGTTCTGGTCGCTGCGGGGCCAATCTCCAGCGTGGGAGACTCACCACCCAAACCAGGAGTACAGTTGACTCCCCGCTCCCTACCCAAGAAAACCCCAAGCCTCAGCCCTGACCTACTTTTCCAACCTCTCTTCACCTCCTTGGAGTTTTTCATTTCCAAGGCTTCCCTATCCTTGAATTCCCAGATTTTCACTCGACAAATACTGAGCACCACCTAAGTGTGGGGGCTCTGCTTTAGGTGCTAGTGGAGGTGCACTGATGGAGCTTCCACTACATCTAGTACACCAGTCGTGAGAAGAACATAAAAGAAATACGCGAAGCGCTAGGAAAGCAAGCAAGGAAGGGGCGGGGGGGAGGGGGAGGGACTGCAGGTCCCTGAGGAAATGTGCCTGGCGGAAAGGGACCTGGTCCAGGACCCCTCGCATCACCTCCTTTCTTATGGACTAGATCCCTTGACACAGGCGGGACCTGGTGGCCAGAACCCCTCTCCAGCTCTGTCCACCGCTCCCTGGCAGGGCTGCCCGCCCACCCTCTCCTCCATCCTCTCCCCCTCGCCCCGGCTCCGCCCGAGCCCTCCCTCCCACGCCGCCTCCTTCCAGGCCTTTCTCCGAGGCTGCCCCCGCCGCTGCCGCCGCC